ACAAATATAGCTGAGTCGGGAAGCAGAAGTACACGGGACGAAACACGATATCGGCAAACCAGCAGCAGCGCCTCACAGTTCAGCGAGATTGCTTACATCAATGGCAATTAATTAGCCGGTAAACTCTGAGTAATTTCATTAGTCCGGTGAAGGGTTGGAGGGTCGTTATATAAATAAGATCGCGTTTTCGTCGGCGAATACCGGCGGCATTTCGATAACCGTTTCTCGTCCTTTCCTGCGAGATAATTTATCTGACGAAAGATCTCGAGGAAATTTTGCGGAAGGAATATTGTAAAAAAAGAACCAGTGATATGCAAAATATTATTCGAGATAGCTGAACGCGTAATACTTGTCCAAAATATTATTCGAACATTTTCTATTATATATTATATATAATATGATTTATTATATAAATATATATAATATGATTTATATGTATGTGCGCATATCTTTGATAAAATAATGGAAAATAAGAAATATATAATTTTTTAATCGGTGCATTCTGCGTTTTGGAATACGCATCATAGTGGACCTATTCTTAACTCTTAATGACAGTTTCGTTATCGTTATATTGTCATTGCGCAGCTTTTTTACCATATATAATATCTGCGCAGTGCAAATATAACGATAACGAAACTGTCGTTAAGAGCTACAGAATAGACCCACAGGTCTTTTCAGACAAGATTTTCCCATTTTTTTTTTATTACGTATACCTGCGCTTGTTTTGCTGTAAACGCAAGGTATCTATACACGTTATTTTTTTTCATTTGAATGATACATTTTTCGCGTTTACAATAGGATGCAATCGTACTATCAGAAATTCAGTTGGTTGGATTCGCTGGACGGGACGAATGGGTCGATGCATCGTGCGAATCAGAGCACCGCTCAAGGATCCGCAGGTTATTCGCAATTATATTTGCAATAATTATCTTCAACGAATTACAACTTATACTTAATAAAAAAATAAGTGCAATTATATAATCAAATAAAAGTCGAAGAGAGAAATGGATAATTCTTCTTCTTCTCTAAATTCACGATACGTGGGCTTATTGTAGGTGATCGAAGTGAAAGTGAGGAGGTTGCAGGTGGGCTTTCTGAAGGAGGCCCGTTGCGAAGGGGCGTATTTTCAATTCTCAGACAGCGCCGACGATCCCGACGACGAAACAACAGGTCGATATTGCGGCCACGTGACCGGAAACGCCACGAGGTACTCCATTCCCCTTTCGCGGACCGGGGTAGATCCCGTCGATTTCCGGTGGGTGGGTTATCTAAATCCTCCCGTTCGTTTGCGATTCCGCAGGCTGTTTTTACGACGCGGTCCCAATCTGACAATCACCCTGTCGTCGGACGAGCAGTTCGCCTCGGCGCATCCGGTCATCTTTTCCGCTCAATTCTCCATCCTGCCAATCCGCCTGGCGGTCGAGCGTCATCGCGGCTACTCCGCCTCCACGTCGCCGACGTGCCCCGTGGAGTGCACCGTGCGCAACGAGCACAGATCCTGCAGGCTGACCTCGCCGGGCTATCCTAGCGTCTACCCACGTGGGATTAGGTGCGCACGTTCGACTACTTTGAGTTAAGCTCGAGTTCGCCGAAATTTCGGAACAAACGGTTCGCCAAGATAACAAACCTTTCCTCCGCGTCAGCAAACCAGTTGCAAATTCTGCTTTCTTACACGTCATCGCGAATTATTTGTCAAATACTATCGAACAGTCGAGTCGTTCGAACGTTCTGGTGAAAGGAGAATGATCACTAAGGGCGTTTTCTGGCCCCCACAGGATTGCGAGAAACAATTTTTTTGTATTGTATGATCACTAGGAATGTCAAAAATAACCATTAGATGAGAAAAAATTCGATCCATAAAGCCAAAATTAATTATTAATTAGTGAAGGTATATTATGGTACCTGAGCCTTTTTCATGACTAATGAAATATTTTTGCTCATACAAAAAAAAATTGTTTTTTGAAAATCCTGTGGAGGCCAAAAATTATTTTATTGACCCTCCTTCTTTATCGAGCTAATTTGGGAACATGTTTTTCGAGAATAAGCGTCGAGAGAGATGAAATTCTCACTATTTCAGAGTTCTAAAATTACCTGCAACATTACGCGATCGCGCGGTGAATATATTGAACGCCGAATTCGGTCGATCCGTATAATTCTCAGATGCAGGGTATCCTTGGAGTCGCACGCCGGTCGCTTCAGGATAGGCGGTCAGCCGGAGGACCTTTTCGACTTGATGAACTACACCGATCAGGAGAGCTGTCAGATGGAGGATTGCGAGGACTCCTTCGAGTCCGGGGAAAAGGGCGGATCGTCAATCGCGTGGGGTCGGGAACACGTCGAGGCGGATGAATCTATTATCGGGGACGATCGATCGAGAAATGAGCACAGGAGCCGGATTCCCGCGATGAGACGCACCGCGGAGACGAGTGGACAATTAACAAGGCTCAGGCATTACGAGAAAAAGGCGACGCAACGTTACAGCATGGGGAGGCAGTATCGTCACAAAGAGATGCCGCCTAGGTTCGACACAAGCGAGCCGAAGCTTCGCATAAAATCAATGCGTCCGAAGATAACGAGGAAGAACCATCGAGGGGTCGTCTTCAATGGCGATTCCGAAAGGCCGAGCGAGATGATCAGTAGCGCAACGGTATGTAGTTTAAGACCAAGGAAAGGCGCATTAGCGAACAATCAATGAACTTTTTTTTGCTAATTGGCTAATAATTGCTCTGTAGAAAGAAATACATATGCGTTTCTTCATACTTTATTATTCAATTAATAGTATTTTAAAGTGTTATTTCAATTGTTACACAGAAAAAACGGTTTTGTTGAAGTATCTAAAAATTTAGCTAGATACAGATCTAAAAAAATTTTGTTGTATCATCAAAATAATTATAGTAAGTCGCTGAAGTATATTAATGCTGTAAAAAATTTTGACATTTTTAGCAATCAGTTTGAATGTTCTATATAATTATTTTGATGGTGCAACAAAATTATTTTCAGCTCTGTATCTAGCTAAATTTTTAAATACTTCAGTAAAACCGTTTTTTCCATGTAGATATATTGTTATTTAAAATAATGATCTATATATAGCAATGTTAAAATTCGATTTTTTCATCGTTATTTTCGAATAATACATTTCTCGCGTAGAATTGACAGTATATATTTTATCGCATTAAAATATCGAGATTTAGAAGATGACTGCGCGAGGAGAATCACATTCTCGCTTAACGAGAATATTTAATCAAGGAATGTATTTCCGAATCCGAATCTACTTGTTCACCTAAATCGATGTACGCCCCGTATAATCCATCAAGGCAGCGGAATCCAAATACCTCAGGGAGAATCGATCGACGGGAATCGCGTGCGGCAACGGCGACTATCTCGCGCTTCTGGAAAACGTGAACGGCAAAATTCTGGAGATCTCCAGGTTCTGCGGCAGCGGCCGGGTGCCGCGCATCTACTCGCGCGGGAAAAACGTGATCCTGGAGTTCGTTGCGCGCGAGGACGGCACCGTGATCCACGACGGGTTCCAAGTGACCCTGCACGAGGAGCGCGTCTCGCGAGAGGTGATGAGACGCGCGAGATGCGAATTCGCGTACAGGAGCACCGGGCGGCCGCGGAACGGCGGCAGGGAGAACATCCGATCCCCGCGGAGTTGGTATCCCCCCGACACCGTGTGCATTTACAAGTTCCTCGGTAGAGCCTCGGAGAAGGTTTCGATCCACATAAAGATCTTCCGAAACGAGCCCGAGCACGAGAAGCCGGAGGTGGGGAAGCAAAATTTCACCCTGAGCTCTTGTCCGGGCAACGAAATCACCGTTTATAATGGAGCACAGGTAAGCGCGAGCTCCGTCGCACTTGAAAAAAAAAGAATATTCTTGATTTAAAAATATCTTTAGTTTCAATGTGGAAATCTTAAAATAAGACTATTTTTAGTAATTAAAATGAATTTATCCATCACGCAAACGCGCGTTTATTTAACGTGCAAACAAACATGGAGACAAAGAAATGTTAAACAAAGAAAACTCGCTTAAATAAAATTATCTTATATAGTTCAACAAAAAAAATGCTTTTAATTACAAATTGTAATTTTAATTAAATAAAACTTAAATTATTAAAAATACGAAAATGGATGAGAGGGGAACGGGAAATTCGAGAATCTTTGCATATTCAACTTCGAAGATTGAAATCCTAAAGATCGATGAAAAGTTACGGGCATCTTTGCGAAATAAATCCTTTTTTTTTTCTTTTTCTTAGTAATTCATCTTTTATTCGCGTGGTCGTCGCGTTCGCACGTATACTGAGCTGTGTTCTAAGAAATCGACACAACAATTAATAGGTAAACGACAGCTTCCTGATGTGGTCCTACTGCGACGCGTCTCACTGGGACATCAACAACATCCAAGTACCTTTGACGTCTAGCGGAAACGAATTATTGATCCAGTACTACAGCGCCAAAGGGTCCCACGATGGGCAGGGATTCACTTATGCCATATCCTACCGATTCGTCAGGAAGGAGCGGAACTCGACTGTCGCGAGACGCAAATACAAATCGATCTCCCTGAGGCCGGTCAACCTGTCGGCTCTCAATCTCAACGACACCGACGATTACGATTGCGACACCAGGATCGGCACGTTCAAGAACTGGTTCGCGGTGCTGGCGGTCTTCGGGATCGTTTCCTTCGTCGGGGCCGTCGTCACGATAGTCGTTCTGACAGTCAAATGCCTGAGGATCGGATCCTCCGAGAAGAAGCTCCTGCAAACCGCGAAATAATGAGGTCTTGCGCGCGCAAGGATCTCGCCAGGGTTTCCCTTCGAGCGACAACGATCGAAGATATCGAGATTCTGTTTTGTAGGAAAACAAAGATGAGACGAGCTCGCGTAGAAATCATCGGGGGAAAAGAGGTCCCGTCGAGGCTTGAATTCAGGGGGTTCGATTGGTGTACCTTGAAACGAAGTGAAAATTACAGAAAGGAAACAGATCTACTAGATTTCGACATAATAAAATCGTAAATACTGTAGTAAATTTCCTCACTTTTGTAATTTTCACCTCGTTTCGAGATACATAATCGACTCCCAGGATCGCTGGATTCGGAGTGCCGGAGGAGGCCGCGGGATCTCGGTCGAACATTTCCACGAGTCGTCGGACGACGCGTGTAAATATTTGCGAGGAAAAGGAGGAGACACACGCGGAGAAGTCGCTGGCGCAGAATACCTGCAAAAGTCGACTTAAATTTTGACATCGCGCCAACGTCTCTTCGATATCGCGCGGCGCTGACGGGGTTTTCCCGTTTCCCGACACCCGGAGAACGATGTACAACCAGTACAACTACCATATTGTATACCGACCTGAATTTTTATACGTAATGTACGGAACAGTAGTAATTGTAGTGAACCGCAATAAAACACGTGTAAGCAGAAAATAAATTGGCGGATTCATTGCCGGATGGTGCAGAACTTCGCGATCAAACTCCAACTAACATAACCATTCATTGTCGTCTCTTAAAGTAATTTTTTTCTTGTTCTAAGAATTAGAAAGATAAAGTAAATTAAACCGAGATTAAAGTTAATCTACATTGATAGAAGTGGCCATAAATCAATCGGAGTTGATCGCAATTACGTTCGCGTCAGTTCGCGCTAATCGCTTTTTTTTTGGTTAGTTCTCTCGGCTGAGAGAAACTTAGTGCCTTCGGTCCCACCCTGGAACCATAGGACACAACGATGCTTGACCCAAATTAATTGCGCGCTAGTCGCTATGCAGAAACAGGTTATACTCACTTTTTTAAGGAAACGATCCCGCGATGTTCCTAAATCCAAATGCCGTCAACGTCAAGTTTCATCGCACATACGGCACATACATTTAATCTTCGATATCGAGCGAAATCGCGAGACGCGGAACGTCTCCCAACATCCGGAAGGGACACGATCAGACTATAAGACACGATTTGAATGCCGAAGACGCGGTAAATGTCACGTAAACTAACGTAAACTGTAGACACCGTGGCGCCGACAATCGTCGCGAGTCGACAAACCTCTGCACCGGGAACACAAGTATACCTTCCGTACCGACAAAGGTTCACCAGGTATTCGCATCCGTCGCTCTTCTCCGCCATATGCGCACCATCTGTTGATACAGCTGCGCTTGGAGCGGTCGCGGGGCGGGGGCCGCCGTCCGCCATGTATAGTCTCGCGCATGCGCGCCTCGTGGTGACGTCACGCGGCCGTGTGTCGTGTGCGTATGCGCCCGCGCGGCGGCGGCGCGCGTGCGTGTTGGTGCGTGTGTGGTGTGGGTGCGAGCGTAAAGGTTACCGACCAAAGTCTCGCCGTCTCGCGGTCGAGACGACGACACTTGGCGTACGTGCGGCAACTGCCCTGCGGAGAGAAATTTTCCGGTGACTCGCGGCCACGAGGAAACGCGCGAAACGCGTCGCGACACAACGACGAAGGGAGAGATGGCCGGAGGAAACGGTGGTGGCGATGCCGCTGGCGGCAGCGGCAGCGGCGACGGTGTCTGCTCCACGGTCGTGAAGAAGCTCGGCCTGCGACCGGTCACGCGGTGCAACCTCGCCAAGTTCTACGCGCCGGCATTCGGCGCCGTCTCGTACACCGCGATGTCCGTCAACGTCATGAACCCGAGCCTCGTCGTCAAGTAAGTTCTCGTGGTTCGATTTTATGCGATGCAAGAGTGCGACGCGACGAGTCTTCCTTCCTCTCGTTCCTCCTCTTTCTCTGTGTGTGTCTCTCTCTCTCTCTCTTTTCTTACGTAACTCCATGCAATTTATGGATGTCGCGGCAAATAAATGTATCGTAGATTTTTAAGTCGGAGAATGTATGGCCGATATTCAGTCAGATTTTATATATAAGATCGTCTTAAGTTCATCTTTAGATACATCGTAGCCAATGAAACGAGTCATACAGCATTTGAAGTCATACAGAATCTTGAGAATCTTAAATATAAGATCTGACCATGGATGATATTCATATTCAGATTTTATATGTAAAATCGTCTTAAGTTTTATCTTCAGTTTATCAAGTTTATCTACTCCGTAACCAATAAAATGAGTCGTATAGCTTTTGAAGATAAACTTGAGACGATCTTAAATATAAGATCTGACTACGGATGATATTTATATTCAGATCTTGTAAGATTATCTCAAGTTTATCTTCAGATACTTTATACAGCGTCTGAAGATAAACTTGAGACAATCTTAAATATAAGATCTGACTACGAATGATATTTATGTTCAGACCCTATAAAATTATCTCAAGTTTATGTTTAGATACTCCATACAGTGCCTGAAGATAAACTTGAAGCAATCTTAAATATAAAAATATATCTGACTGTAGTCGGTATTCATATAGTCAGATCTTATGTATAAGATTGTTTTTAAGTTTATCTCCAGATACTCTGTAGCCAATAGAATGAGTCGTACAGAATCTTGAGACGATCTTAAATGTAAGATCTGACTTATGAGTAGCACCCTTAAGAGAGACATTGTAAATAACGTTGGCTTGGTTTTTCAGAGTGTTCCCAAAGAGGGATATTACGAATTTCTTGTTGGCTGGCACTTTGGTTGGCACCGGATCGTACATCTATACACGTGAACACATGAAATCCGCGCCGCAGTCTGTAAGGATTCTATACAGGTGAGGTTTCATGTTGATGATACACTTATACGTGTACGTTCCTTTCGAATAGAACTGAATTATTTCCCACTTCTATGTCCCATCTACTTTTCAGCGCTACCGGAGCGGTGTTATTGAGTCTGGGTTCGGTCTTGCTGTGGGCAGTGATACGTTCCATAGTTCCGCCAAGCCCGGTCTGCTGTACGATAGCTGGAATCGGCACCGGAGTGGCATTTCTGAAAGTCGGCTCGAGTTATCTCGAATTTGTGGACGGGCAAATAGCAAAAAAGTAGGCTGCTCCCATACGCTTTCTATCCTTTTCTTTCCTACTTTGGATTTGTATCTCGAATTTGTTACCGAATGAAATTGTATACTACGTCGAAACAAGGAACACGGCACCATTTGTCTGTTGCATTTTGAGCGCGGCTCTCTCGAATCTCGTGGAATTTTTGTTTCATGTGGCGAGAGATTGTGGAGAGCGATTCGACGCTTGATCGGTCGGATTCCTGAAACGTTTTTCGGGTACAAACTACGAGTATATGTAAGTAATTGTGTTTTTTTCACCACGAGTTTTATATACGCGCGTTTCCTTTCGAAAACCAAAAATACAACAAAGAGAGATACGAGTGGATACTGCGACACTCGTATCGATTCCGAAAGTGTGAATTGTCGTATTGCACAAAAAAAAATGTGACATCGGCGATTCTATAGCGTTGAAGATGGTTTTACGTGAGTAGCGAACGCGTTAAATGAACAGTCGTACGCTTTTCTCTTCGCTCATCATTCGCCGCAAAGCCGGCATTGTTGAACGGCATTTGATAAATTGTTCGTTACGGTATATCGATAATGTGCACGCACTTTAGGAAACTTAAACCGTGACCCTCGTAATTCCGGCGCGTTTAGGAAGTCGGGAAGTATGAGCGTCGTGTGTTTATTGACAAACGTGTTTTATAATAATAAGCTGCATAAGGATGCATCGTCATGTGTAGATAACTTGTCACCATAAATATATAAATATACGAATTGTGACACGAATGAAACACGAATTTCCTCACCTGCCTGAATTCCATCGTCCATTTTGCATTTCTAATTCTTATTGTAAAGACGAAGGCCAAGTAATATTATTTACTTAATCGAAAAGTGTTTAAAATTTATCACGCAAATTATTCTAGAAAATATCCAAAACGCGACATGGCTTTTGGTAGATATAAACTCGATCGCGCGCGTTTAACAGTTGAAATAACTCGAAGGTGCACGTAAGAGTTGAAAACTTGGAATGTCAGAAATGCGCGAAGCTTCTCGCGAAGAGGCGGCGTAAACGGATAGCTTACTGTCCCCTTCTTATTGTCTGAAACGCGTCTGTTTCTTCAAAACCTTTATCGTTTATTTACGCGTGCTATTGCACCCTCGTGCGATTATGGCGAGGATCGAGCCAGATAAGGGGGGAGCCTCAAAGCGATACAAACGAACATACTCGCCGCGATACTTTGTCGAGTTCCTCGTAGTCTACCGTTTGATTTTCAATGCTCGTTCGTCACACGAGAAGATACCCAATTAAGTTTATTTAATTAAGCTTATTTGTAACAATAAATAAATGACCTATGTAAGAATCGATACTTTTAAGATCGCGTATCGCAACGTGGAAAGTTCGTGATATGAATCTTGGGATTGCTTTCCGATCATGAAGGACGAGATTAAACGCGATCGATTGACGAAGATTCGAATCTTGATGTCTTACTCTGCGCGTCGTGTTCGATACGTCCCTATAACTGCAGAAATCCGATAATTTATCTTGTTAAGACAGCACTCCGTACGTCGAGAGCCGCAGACGTACGAGGGCTTTTTATGGAGGGCCTATATACAGGGTGTCCAAGAGACTTTCTTTCACTTACGCCGGTACTCTTCGCCAATTTAGAAGAAATTTGTCCTTGGCAAAAGAATCAAGTGTGTCGCCGTTTTTTTTGCAAACGACCGAAAATGACGAATGACTCTCCGGGAATCAGGCTCAACAGATGAAATTGTATCGTTCTCTTGACCTTAGGAAACAGGGACACCCTGTATAACCGCAAACGTTGGTCGATCGCTGCATGGCGCAGCGTGCCTCTTCGTGCCTCGACGCTGCCGCTATTGTTTCGACGCACCGCAAATAATGACACGGCATGCTTTCCAACAATAACCGCTCACAACGCGACACCCGGATGACGTTTACGAAAGCGTTTTTGCCCCAGGGAGAATTTCAAAAGTGCGTTTTTCAAATAAGCGTGAATAATTTTTACTATAATCAATTCAAAAAGATAAGACTCTAGCTAGTCTTGGAACAATGAGATAAAAATAATAAAAATTCTACTAATTAACTTTCTATAAAAATATGAAGGGAGATGAATATTTAGGAAATCACGAGGTCTGAAAAATCTGCCGGATTCCCATTTCGTTCTATCGCTATATATAGGTATAAAGAATGCGACGGTCTTAATAAAAAATATCTGTGATAATTTATTAAAATTCCTTATTATAAATACGCATAGCCTGTACGGATTCGTTGAGTAATTAGGAAATCGATGGACCGCGGCTCTCGCGATAAAAGCTCGGCGTCCATTTCTTTTTATATTGCTATCATAGAGAACACCTTCGTACATTACTACCAATAAATATTTTCGATACCGTGGAGTATCTTGGTCTCGAAGGCACTTATTATAAATAATCATGCAACTACAGATTAACTTACTCACTATTACGTATCTAAAAAAAAAATAAACAAACTCGCCTCGTACACAAATACAATATATCGGCGCACGAGCGTCTTTTGCCGATCGCGACTTTGAGCGAGAAATTCTTCTGACCTATCGCGATAGTCTAGCGAAAGCGTCAGAAGTCCGTAAAGTTTCTTCTCCGACGCGCAGTTTCCAGTCGGAGTTTCCAGTCGATGAAAGACGTACATCTTATCGTAATGCAACGTTGCGCAGCGGTGCGCGACACGGGTTTCCCGCCGTTTGCGCCACGTCTGTGAGGAAAACGTGTGGTCTCGGATTCGTCGATCCGATTTTCCCCGGCGCACAAAAATCCACACGGTAAAAAGTCAGCTCGACCCTGATCTACCTCTCGTCTCAATATCTCATTTTCTTATTTCGCTAAGTGATAAAAAAATGCGCGTGAGAAGAGTCCCCTGAGTAAAGGCATCTCGAGATCCTCGAGGTTCCCGAGAGATCTTGGTTGCGCTGAATCTCTGAAGAGGATTCAGCCGTGGAGCTTGGTACTTGCGGGAACCCGAAGATCGGACCCCTAACTGCGCTGAGGATTTAACGGGCTGATCTCGCTCGCGTCGTTCGACTGTCCCGTAGACGGCGAGGACGTGAAGGCGTTGGAGAGGGCCTCGGCGATGCTGTTGGTCACCTTGTCGATCGCCCCCGTGACGACGTTGTGCTTGTGACCGCGGTCGTGATCGTGATCGTCATCATGATCGTGGTCGTGATCGTGATCGTATTGTTCCTCCATCGTATGCGTGTGGTTGTGGCCATCGTGCGAATGTCCGTGCGAGTGGGAATGGGCGGCTGTAGACAGAAAGCGTGGATGTTTGAGATTTTCAGGCGATTTTTTTAAGCGCGGAGGGAACCAGTCGCGCGAGATCTGTGAAAGAAACTGGCGCGGCAATTCATTTTGCGAAGTTATACCTCCCCAATTGCGGAAATGAGGAATTAGAGTGATTGAACTGTTTTGCGCGTTTCCGTGTGTCTTAATTTCCGTTTTTCTAAATTAAGAAATAGGTTCTTCCGTCTCCCTCTCTCTCTCTCTCTCTATCTCTCTCTTTCTATTCCACATTTGTTATATCGTTAGATGAAGGAACAATTGAATTCTAAAGTCTCACTCTTTTATTTTTTAAATAAGTTAACTTTCGCGGGTAGCTTTTAATTGGCCCACTTGGCTACATTTATTATATTAATAGTTGCTTTCCATTTACATCAAAACTCAGATAATTCTCACTTGTGATGTGATTCTGTCTTTATTATTCATTAATTGCCAAAAAGGATAGAACAACGTCACAAGTGAGAATTATCTGAGTTTCGATGTAAATGGAAAGCACCTAATATCATGACGTTTCGACGATGGATTTTTGTTCTTATCAAGTGTGTGATATAGTAGATTCACAAAAAATTTTAATCAAGAGTCCTAATCTATTATATTACACACTTGTGAAACGTCGTGATATTAAATTAATAAATGTCGCCAGTTGGGTCGATTAAGAGCTATCTACATTAATTATTTAATTACTTACTGATGAAGCATAGTCATTGTTTTTGTTATTCAACTTCGTTATTTAACTTTGTGGTAATACATGTTTGTGAATTTATTTTAATTAAAAAATTATTTACTGGTGAAGCAAGTCGTTGTTTTTGTTATTTTTGGTATTTGCGAAAATACGTGTTTGTGAATTTATTCTAATTTAGTTTAATTTATTATTATTTTAAATCCTCATATGCTTTTACGGGATAATTCGGTAAGAGTAAGAGATTTGTTTTTATTAGTTATCATCGCGAAAGAGAAAGGTCGGCCCGTCGCGAAGCACGGTAATACTTAACGTTACATTATTGGACTCAACTAGCATCGGAAAGTATCTAATCAACGATAATGAAGCGACTCTTCTGACGATAAAGCGAGCGGCTTGGTCGAGCCGAATATAAGACAGCTCTCCAATAGGTAATAATCGACGATTTCAGTAATCATCCTGGAATCATCTCGATACCGTTATTAGTTATCTGAGCTAATAATACGTTAGTAATACAATGAATTATAAAAGTTTCCTTGAAATATTATATTTCGCGATAAAGTTATAACTCCTATATAAACTTAAACGCGTGCTAGTCGCGCGTCTGATCATGCACCGTCCGTTTCCACTGCATCGATCGTGCCGTTCATCGCGAAGCGCTCCGTAATTAACTTCCGCGCGTGTATACATATACATGCAAACTTCTCCAAACGGTACTCAGACACTCGACGGCAATTTCGTCATCGCAAAATGCCGTCAAACGGTCGAGAAAGCCGTCGAAAGTCGGTCGGATCGTCCATCGACCTACCCGTCCCGGGTCATTGCCATGGGTGGAGAGAAAGCCTTGGGACTATAAGCAGATCCCTTATGAGATCGAGATTCGTCTGCTTGTCGTCAGCATGACAATGTTCCCTCCCGTAACGCACGATCATTCCAGCGTGCCGCCACGTGAAACCCGTGTCTGTCTTGGAAGAAGTGGGTTGTTTCCGTATGCAATTTGCCAATCATATGGCAGCCGACGCGAGTTGTGTAAAAGTTCACGTTTCGTACAGTCACGAGTAGGAGTAACGAGCTCGTATTTTATGCAGAGTAAATGCTCCAATAAACCGTTTAACGGATATGGTATAGAGAGCATGTAGCCCAATTTCCTTCGTATTATAATATTTTTGCTTTATACACATATATCCGCGAATATAAATACGCGTAACGCTATTTTACATATTATATCAGAAATTATGATATTAATATGCCTTAGGTATTTTTTTAACTTGTGCTCTTATGACGTTGTGATTTCATAAGATAATATTTCGTTTTACACACGTATATCCGAACACGCGTAATGCTATTTTTATACACATACGTGTATTGTATTAGAAATTATGATATTAATATGCCTGTGTATTTATTTTAACTTGTACTCTATATTGTGATTTCACAAGATCAAGATTTGTTAATGCGTGTAGCATATTGCGTCATTTTGAGTGGAAACGGAACATTGCAGCTATACGATTTCGCGAATCTTTCGCATTCTCGTGAGAAGGTCAGGATGCATTTAAGATTGCGTAACGGATGACATCCGCAGAGGTGTATAACCGTTATTACGATCCATCTCTGCCACCTGTTGTTACTTTCTCGGCGAAATGACACGCGTGCAATCTGTTATTGGGTACAAAGTAATATATGCGGCATGCGTGCTATCGAATATCGCGTCAGCGATATTATAATTAAGTCTTCAACCTTGTCGAAAATATTCGGAATTAATGGAACGAGCTACCGAGCCGTAAACTTTTTTTTATGTAGTCAGAAATGAAATCCTTTTAGGTGTTATTTCCAATTACATCATGTAATGTTAATGTTGCATATTTTTACATGCTGAAAAAATTAAAGAAGAGAAAAAGGCCTCACTCTATAGAGACGAAATATCGGATCGTAAAAGTAAAGGCGAATGTCCTTGACTGTGAAAAAAGGAACGGGAATATAATCTCAAAGTACGAATTTGAATCAGATTTTACGATTAATTATACGAATAGCTTGTCGCTTCTGCTAGAATCCATAATCCGCGTCATTTTATCAAAGTCATTAACCGCATTCGACTGGAATAACAATCACAACAAAGTAGCTTAAATTATCAAAAGCGAACAGAGTTTATCGGCTGGCGTTTCGAGATCAGCGAATAATTTAGTTCTGCGTACAGGCGTACTCGTACATACATATATGTATGCGTATGTCCCCTATACAAGTGTCTGCTGGATTCGTATGTAATTTTTAACGGAATAACTTCTCGATAAGATCTATTTTCGCGGCAAGTTTCGAACGAACGAGCGTTGCACGCTACGAGAATTTCTGCCACGAGAGATCCTTTCGCTTCTCCCACTTCTCCAATTTGTCCTGACCCTGACTTTTCAGGTCGTACCTCGTCGGTTTAGGGCAAATCGATAGATTAGACAACTACGTGATGAACCAACACGTGAAGTGTATCAAGGGCGTACCTGTAACAAGTTTGCACCGAGTCGGGGGCGATTCTGAAAATTTTTAATCGCGAGGATATCGAACGGCGCCCAATCGACATTTCCGCCTAGGGAAAGTGCACATCGAATCGACAATCGACGCACACATGTAAAATGTTACATAATACCTTAAAGCATCCTGTGGAAAAATGTCTGAATTATTCAGGATAAAACTGGCTTCTATGAATAATAAATGCATGCTCGTACATCATGCAAATTCGAATCGAGGAAGTCGAGGAAGAGATGGCTTCCGGTGAATCCTAATGGTGCCCCGGGATGGACTTTCACCCTACGGCAATAAATTCGCGCGCCGCGCGATTTCCCGGTTTTGACACGCGGAAATTCACCGGTCACGCGAGAAGCAAGAGGAAAACGGAAACGCGCAGTATGCGCGGGCCACGCTGAAGGACGACGGTTCGGAGCGCGATGACGATAATGTATTTATCCGGCGCATCGGCGGTGTGTCGCGTCGCGATACGCTCCGATGCGCCTCTAGAGACGCGCGGGATTCCCCTCGTCTTCCGGGAAACGAACTCACTGGCGATCTGCAGGCCCAGCATCAGCGCGAAGCCGATAATGATTGCGACCAGCTGCAGCAAGCCGCTCTTCTCGTTCGCCCTCTCCCGCGCCAGCACCTCGAAGAACACCACGTAGAGCAGGGTGCCGGCCGCCATGCCCTGGAGTATGGTGGGCGTGGGCCCCAGGTTCTCGCTATCGTTCTTGAAATGATCGAGGACGAGTCCCACGGCGATCCCGATCGGCGTGACCATGGAGAAGATCGACAGGTAGCCGAGGGTGGTCTTGGTCGACGCGCCGGCCACGTAGAGCTCCATTCCCACGCAGAAGGAGATCACCAGTTTGTGAGTCGCGATAGCGGCCGCCAGATACACGACCGAACTGATGGACGGTTCCAGGCCCACCGCCAGACCCTCGAATATCGCGTGAAAGGACAACGCGAGCACGGTCAACAGTCCTTGCACCGAGGTATTCTGCATCATCGCGCCGTGCTGATGATGGTCGTGGGAATGATGATGATGATGATGATTGACCGAGTAGCCCAGTTCCGGCATCGCTAGCTCTAAATCGGAATGCTTCTGGACAACCCGATGTCCCTCGTCCGCTAACGCGACCGGCAGGACGAATATAGCCGGCAGCACCTTGTCGTCCTTGCCCGCCTGATCGCGAGAATCGTCGAGCTGGAGTTTTGACCGGTCTACGTTCACCCGATGCCGGTTATCCTCGGTATCGTCGGTGTCTTTCCACACGGTGGACTTGGTCGTCGTGGACACGGTGGTGATCGAGCCGTTCGACATCATCGACGAACCCGACGGACCCGTCTGATTGTTGTTGCATCTTCGCACCGACACCGTCCGATAGAGCAACGCCTCCGAAGACTCGGGTTTGCCGGTGAGGACGGCATGCACGGCTTCCTCGACCAGATAGACGAGGAAGAAGCCGCTGCAGAAGAGCAGCTCCGCCAGACCGAGGGTACCCAAATCGGGCAGCTGTCCGTTCGACTGGTGATTCTCAACGCTGGCGCGCACTTCCGGCGCCAGATGTACGAACGTCGTAAACAGGAGCACGCCGCCGCCGAAGCAGAGCAAGAGCGACGTCAAGAGACCCTGAGGACGATGCCGCGATGCTTTGGGATCCGTTTTTTAGGATTTATATTCGTTAGATAGGGCGCTCGGGTTATCAATTTCTACAGACTCTTTGACCGCTTTGGAGTCGCTTTTTAAATTTACGAAAAAGTTGCAATTGATCGTTTAAAATTTTAGCTTTCGCTGCTATAATTAAATACATGTACACGGTGTTTGCAGCTAAAAGAATCAAGACTCAATTGACTCCAAATAGTCCACAAATGCCAATTGTAAAATACCGAGCACCCTGTAATCAGCAGCTACTCCGGACAACAAGATCGAGCGTCAATCATTAAGCGAGTTGTGGAAGTAAACATCTTTTGCAAGCACGACCTTTCTATTCCCTTCCTTCCAATCAAATGTTATCAAATATTATCCGTCTCGACTTTGTGCCGTTTTAGGTGTGTTTGCGATTGCGCGTATATTGATACATTAGATAGTATTTAAATGACACGTAAAGACTCAGTGACGGTAGAACTTAGAACTGATTGATATTCAGGAATTTAAAACACCGTAGAATTAAAAAGAAACGGTCTACATGCAGCGCAAATACATTTAATAGATATGCTAGGATATCGGTGTCAAGGATATTCCACCGGTATCCTTGGTTATATCCGTTATTTTTCTACGAATATGACTTTAACTCAAAACATCAGCGGCAAGTCGAATTCGATTTACGACCGGCACAAAGACGAGCCTTCCGGAGAGCTGCGGAAGTGGACCAGATATTGCTAACTATCGAGGATTTCTGGACCGTTTCTCAGACGTACTTGCTTGTTCGTCGCGGAGGCCGAGTCGACGATCGGCGTGGACGCGTTGGACGTCGAGGTCGACGTGAAGGTGCTGGAATGATTGGAGGAGATCGCTTGGCGACGTTTCTCACGAAGTCGCCTCTTGGTCCTGTAACGTCCCACCATCAACGGCAACGTTCCCAGGGCGAGGGAACCGAAGCCAAGACCGACCATCGCGCCGATCTTCGACATCAGAAGAATATTGGACGTTTTGTCCACCTCCATTTCGTTCGACCGATATCGATATATAACGAAGATATGAAGAAAGGAACTTTGCTCCCTCGTCTTCTTTTTCGAGGATTTCACAATATCGAGGCAGCAATCACCACGTATATCTCGGCAAACATACGCGAATCAAGTGTCGAGAGTAAAATCCGCCTGCAAGAGAGTTTACTTCGTCACCACTTCACCACCTCTCTCATTCGCGCGTTCCTGTCGACGAGATTCATCTCACGAACCCCGCACTTTCTATCGAGGACGTCCCGTTCTCCGATTTTCGAGGACTCTTTCGCGCGAGGACAATCGAGATGACGTTCGCGGCAATCCGCGTCGGAAACTGGAACCTGAGGTTCCTCGATTGGCTGTACCCTCTGCGATCTTGCGCGAAACGAACGATCGCGAACGACGGTAAGCTCCACGCGGCGCGACGGCCGATCGGACACTACTCCGGACTCCGGTCTCGAGGGGAACTCGGCTCGATCGGACCCCTCGGCCGCCGCCTCGTCGTCTTACATAGTGCGAACCGAACCGTTTCCTGCCCACTCCCGCGACCGCTACGCTCGTCCTTGTCCAACGTTCACTTGCCAGCGTGCATACTCTTTCTGGCACCTGCACCACGACTGATCGTCCCTCATTAAGTGGCGTACAAGACCGACGGCCCTCGTCGAGATGCACGCGAAATCGAAGGAGGGGAGAAAAAAGAGAACGGGAACGCGCACGGGGAACGGAAGTAGAATGGAAAGGAGGAGGAAAAAACGGAAAAGAAGAAAAGGAAGGACGCGAGAGATGATAAAAATATAGAGAAAAAGTGCGGCACAAAGAACTTGACTGAATTAAATGAAGCGAGGAAAGGACAAGCAAAGGAGATCGAGGAGAAGGAGGGAAGGAGGGAAAAGGTAAGAGAATGCTGAATTTCCATTTTGTTTTCAAGCAATTGTTGGGCACGCTAAACATCGATTACACCGCTGTAACTGGTCCGTGTCCGACGAGGAGCAACGCGTGATGCGTTTTCCCTCCTTCGCGCAGACGGCGGAGGGAACGCGTTCGTGCGTAGGCGCGTGTACAACACACGTGCACACACGTGAATGGCGAGAGGTCCGTCGACGACACTCGGAGACGTCGTCGTGTATACGTGCAAGGGGCACGCGTGCAGACGCGGTCTATTACACGTTCGCGCCCACAGTGTCGTAAATAACGTTCGCGCCGCGAATTAGACCGCAAAAGAAATGAATCTTCTTGAGCGTAGCGGCGACATAACGAGGACGACTGACAAGAGGCTGACAAGTAAGTAAAGGAACGGAGAGATAAGAAGAGTGTGAAAATTCCCGAGAAATCAACCCTCCTGGAGCTTTCTTCCCGAGAGGATTCAGCGGCGCAATTTCGTAGAAATTAATTTCTCTTAATTGAGAGAGATTTATTCAATTTCTATTGCGTTGTGATACGGATGAGAAAATGTAAAAGTAAAGACGTTGGCACTGCACTCGAAGTCACTTTCGAAGCAAAAGCGAATGAATTTAGCGATGTGGGCCAACGAGACGATCACGCCTCCGTGATTATTTGCCGGCTCTATGGATACTTTCACCCTTTTCGCGCGAAAAGCGAAAGGATATACCATTATCACGTTGGATACTCCATTGAACGTCCTCGAAGTCATTAAAGCTCAAGTCGAAATTGACGACGGCGTAATTAATGTTACGTTTTACGTTAATTACGCTGATAACGAAATAATCACGATTTTAATTGCGCTATATATTTTTGCGATAATTTCCATTTTTCCTTTTACTTCTTACGATCGCTGAGTGATAAGTCGCTCCAGCGAATGTGAAGGACGCCGCGCGCGAGTCAAGAAAAGAAACAATTTGAGTGACTCATAAATAAACCGAGCGAACGGAGCGCTTTTTCGTGTCGACAATTTTTCTGATTATCGTCGAACGACAATCGAGTGACTGCAAGCGGGAGAATTTTTCACGACGAGCAAAATCAAACGTTACGGGAAACCGTGCCGCATGAATCATCAGGCAGGATGTCCTTTGCGTTTTGTGCTACATTCTCTTTCTCCCCCCCCTCTCTCTTTTCGCTCTCCCCTTGCTATATCATATCCTGTAGTATGTACAATTTGTACGTCATTTCGAATGTTAGCTTCGACAAAAGCGCATTGCCTGTTCGCTCTTTTAAAACTAACGAACGCGCGTACGCACACTTATGCGTCGCGATAAGCTGACTGTTGACTAGCGACAATAATTACTCGCTGAGAATCGATAAGTGTCGGCCGCGTCGATGATCTTTGACCTCGGATACGTACACTCGACCATCATCCTCGTTCGGTACATCTCGAAATTTCATTCACACAATGCTGTCGCGTTCTTTCCCACTTGATTTGTGTGCTTTCATCAAATTAAAACGTATCTTTTCGTTTTTACGTTATATTAATGTGGATTTTGTTTAGAGATAAAAGAATCGTATCTATTAATGGAGAAAAACTTACATCGGTCGAAAATTATCCCAGCTAGGAATTTGAAAAATAAACTGATCATTAATTACGCGTAATCTAGATTCTCTTATCGCGTAATGCTATTCTTACAAACTATTCTCGTTTATAAATATCATTTTTTTTTATCGTGTTAGTTCTTATTTTTCCACGTAATTGATACGAGGAAAGATTGCGCACTTCCAGAAGACGGACGAGCCGATAAGTAAGTGCAAGACGTATCAATACAGTATTCTTATCTATTAAAATTCCCAGTTCTACTTGTTAGATATGAGAAACGCGTTTAACGGAGCGCAAAGATCGGGTATTTACTTACAGCGCTAAATACCCCGATTCTCATACGCCTGCTATCACCGAGGGATGTAAAAACGATGTCGCTTAGCGCGAAATAAAATTGTTTATATACTTACTCAACATCTGTAGCCCGAACATCACGAGGAAGCCGATGAGGATCGAGAGGTACTGCCTCAGCCCGGTGCGATGCTCCTGCAAGATCTCGAAGAACACCACGTAGAGGAGGGTTCCCGACGCCAATCCCTGCGACGAGAAGAGAAAGCGATAAAGGTATTTTTTTCACGCGTTTTTAAGGTAAAAATCAAAGATAAAAATATCTTTCATTTTAATTCGCGCGTTATACTTATTTAAAAATTAAAATTAAAAACTAAAATGATAAAGGTCCAGACATAGGTCTTAAGTGTCTCGGCATCGGTACATTTACCTTACGTACCGCGCGATTGCTGCTCGATCAGTCATAGATTACACAGTATCCCGAGTGTTATTTGAAAATGAAGATTTTCCTCTGACACGCGTATTATGAATGTGTCATCGGTCGTGTTATTGAAATGTTTTATCTCGTCGAATTGGTATTTCCCCTCAAAAGATTGAGAAACTTGCCTGCAATATTACCGCCATCGGTCCACTGCCGGACGCGCTTCCACCGCCGACGAGTGCCATCCCGATTCCGATCCCTATCGGCGACACCACGGCGAACGTGCACGTGTAAATCACGGACAGGTACGTCCTGGTTCTGCACGCGATCAGTTCAACGCCGATGCAGAAGGCAATTACGAATTTATGCGACGCCACCGCGAGGAACATGTACCTACGGGCGAATCAGATAGATTTCGTATTGTTTGTCATATCGTCGCTCTCGATCTTTTCACGAGAGCGACTTAAATCCGACGGTACGTGAAAATATGTGGCGCGATTACTAATTGTAAGGTGGACTTTATTAAGCATCAGCTAATTTACGAGCTTACACTGCAAATCCAAGTGTGTTTTTTAGCTGAAGTTCTTCTTACACATTTCTTGCCGTTTTTAAATCACACCATTTAACACGATTGAACGTATTAACTTTTAATTTAGTATGATTAACGTGTTAAATACGTGATAAACGTGTTAAATAACGTAATTTAACACATGAAGAAACATGTAAAAAGAGCTATAGTCAAATATGTGTCATTTTCAGACGTCTATGCGTATAAAAATGACACACTTGAATTTGTAGTGTAATCTCAGCGCTTATTAATCCAAGTTTAACAACGTGATGTTTTAAAAAAATTTATATTAATTTTGGTTCTTGAATCCAAATTATACCAATAAAATTGGTATAATTTAAAATTATTAAAACGTTTTTTTCGTTACAATTACAAACGCAGAGCAGTTTGTGAAAATAATGCTACATTCAATAGCATGAGGGAGTTTGTCGGTCCCTGCTTTAACGGTTTAATTTAGAGCACGAGCGCAGATGAGCGCGGCTCGAATTAGGAATTGAAGAGACATTCACGATGCAATTACCAGACGTGACCGGCTGAACTCTCTAAACCGATCGCCAGTCCCTCGAACAGCTCGTGCACGGATAAGCCGAGCACTATTAATAATCCTCTCAGCGAAGTTATCACGAAGTCGTCGTCCATTATCGCCGGTAAATGGCTGTGGCCCCTATAAATTAATAAGAGAGGATGAAGTTTTTCTCGCGGTTTCTTCGCGCCGCCGAAGTGTCATCGGCACGACAATGATATATAAAACGATTGATAAAGTCGGGAGCGCGCAAACAGGCTTACGTGTGTGCGTGACCGCTGCAATCGCCCGGCGGCGGCATTTGGCCGCCGTTCTCCACCAATTCGTTCGTGCTGAGATTCACGTCCTTCTTGACGGTATCCTGCTTATCCGTTTGCCGCCTCCTGAGATACGTGTGCACAGACTCCTCCACGAGATACATGATGAAAAACCTGCGGTGGAAATCCGCGGTAAATTTAATTGTCCTAATCCCGAAGTGTGTGCTATTTCAGCGACATTTGTAAATTTAACATTATTAAAAAATATTAATAAGATTAACATGTCATCGTAAAATTGCGTTGAATTAATTGTACAAGTAATTTATCTTCATCGCGATTAGATAAATAATTTTAAATTTAATAATTTTTATACGATCAGATAAATAATTTTATTTTAAATTGAATAACAAATAATATATTGCTTCTGATTGAGACGAAGATATCTCACTGGAGAGATACATATTCCACGTTCGCGGAGGTGGAGGAATTTTTACTTTATTTTGCATCTATATTTTGCATCTAATGACGTCAAAGGATTCTGACTCACCCGGCGCATGCAAGCATGTCTGCCAGTGAAAAGTTGAGCCGTGCCATCTGGCCAGACTCGACGAGGTGGTCTACGCCTTCCGCGACTTCTGGTATCAAGTGGAGGAACGTCGTGCTGAAGAGAACGCCTCCGCCGAAGCCAAGTAGAATACTCACCATCCTCGTTGATCTATGCGCGATAAAGCGATATACTTAGTGATTTAACTCGTCAACTTACATCATCGGTCTTAAAACGATATCGGCGAGACACACGCAAATATATGTTATTTTATACTTATGTCATTTGAATTGTTCTTCGATTTTACTCGTTTTTCGCGTACTTTGCCGTACGAATATCCGCGAAATATAAATAAATAAATTTCAATTTTTATATTTATCTCGTGGAGTTTTTCTACGGATAAGTAAAAGTATCAGAAAATATTATCAAGATTATTGTCATATAACTTACGAAAGTGTAAATAGTTGAACAGTTAAACAATACGATTAAGTAACTCTCTTGAGAACTATTGCGATAATTCTTATCTATACGGTTAGACTGTTCTTCGCTTAAGATGACATTTTTACCTGGGATTTTGACCGCTCATGTCCCATTTCAACCACTTGGCCAGAAACATCGGTATGATGCCCATGATCGTGCTGACAGTGCATAAAACCACCATGGTGACGGCCTTAGCGACCAATACGTCATGTTCCGAGTCCTTGGAGTGATGATGGTCTCCATCGCCGTGATAAGACGACGTGTCGTTAATGCCCACCGCCGCGAGCAACGCATCTATTAGCGACATGGTGATGAATCTTCCGATTCCTCCTCACTGCAAACGCAACAAGTTTTAATAATGTGATCAATCTTACAAGATATCGCATTACAGATTCGCGTGAGCAAAAAGATTAATTTCCGTTCTGTTAAATATTTAATTATCGGATAATTATTCGTACAAGATTTGGGTAAAGTTAAAAGATAAGTTAAGATTTAATTGTCGAATCTAAATCTTAATCAATATCTTGAAAATACGTGGATGGGAATTGATAAAAAAATATTAAATTATCTAATAATAATATTGGATTGATCCACCGCTTAATGTTTTTCGCTTTCGCGTACTGCAGTTTCGGTCGTAATGAAGCTACATACTGCTCGATCTTTTCAAAATTCGTTACAAAGATACGTGCCTAATCTTTTTTTACGACCGAGCTTTATCTGGACATTTC